GTATTAGACATGAATGGGAGAGCATTCCTATTTCTAAACTTGAGAAACTGGTCTCCTCTGTCCCCAGACGTCTGTTGAGTGTTGGAAGAAGAAGGGGGGATGCCACACAGTGGTAAAAATGGACTTGTCCCAACTTTTTTGGGATTTGTTGACGCCATGAAATTTGGAAACAACAGATTTTTCCCTTAAAATGATACATTCTCTCAGTTTAAACTTTTGATCTGTGATTTGTGTTCTATTCTGAATAAAATATTAGATGTTGGCACCTCCACATCATTGCATTCAGTTTTTATTCACAATTTGTTTAGTGTCCCAACTTTTTTGGAATCCGGTTTGTATATACACATATACATACATAGATGAGACCAGTTCTTACCAATAAAAAGCATTGAGTGCTTCCTGGCAAATTTCAGTCCTTCGTTTCTGTCCACTTCACGGTCAGACTGAAAACACACCCGGTGGGTTAAAAAAGAAACACACAGTCAAAGTTCTGCTCACTGTCTAGAAAATAAAAAGTAGAAATAGAAAAATAAATCAGTAAAATAAGAGTCAAACCCAGAAAATGGAACCAGTCACCTCCAATGAAGGATGTACGTTTATCTCACCTTATCTATTTTGTTCCCGACCAACATTTTCACAATGTCATTACGCGTTGTGTAGGTTTCCAACTCATTCAGCCAGTTTTCAAGTTTCGTGAAGGAGTCACGTCTCGTGACATCGTAAACTGTGAAATCAAGAGCTCAACGTTAGCACAGATCCATGCCCAGACCCAGCAAAGCATCATGTCGTAGAACCAAACAGGAGAAAGGGAACAAGAGCAAAGATCCTTTTGAGTTTTGACTGATCTATTCACCGAGTATGACTCCCTGCGCGCCGCGGTAGTAACTGGGCGTCAGAGTGCGAAACCGTTCCTGCCCCGCTGTGTCCTAAACAAGACAAATAGACAAAACAAGACAACGTTTTAAGACACTGCAGTGCAGTTGTTCCTAATAAACACCCTGAACACCCGTCGTACATCATTTGTAACACAACGGCAGACACAGGTTGAAGGTTCACTATTATTTCAGCCACTGACCCATTTAGAAAACCAGGTTTTCTTTCTGCTCTCAAGCTGCTGTGAATTTCGCCGCCTCGTGGCGAAAACCAAAAACTTCATGCTCAATTATTCCAGGTATAAAATTAACGATGTTCATCAGGTCATCTGGATGGTATCTTTTTATGGCTGAGAAGCTTCATCCAAAGGACTTCTTTGAGCTTAGGAGCCAGATCAAAGAAGTCCTTTGGATGAAACGTATCAGCAAAAAAAGATACCATCCAGATGACCTGACTGAATATTGTTGGTTAAAAGTTTATGTTTTTCCTGTCAGACAAACAACATTAGGACTTACCCAAATAGCTAGTTTGGCTTTGTTCCCTTCTACTGAGAGAGTCTTCACTTTGAAGTCCACACCTTGGAGTCACGAGAACACAAAGTCACGTTAAGTTTCCTGAACTCATGTTTGTGTGTTAGCACGTTTCCTGAACTCATGTTTTTATGTTACCACGTTTCCTGAACTCATGTTTTTATGTTACCACGTTTCCTGAACTCATGTTTTGATGTTAGCACGTTTCCTGAACTCATGTTTGTGTGTTAGCACGTTTCCTGAACTCATGTT